GAAAGACTGGGCTATAATTAATGGAATTATGGAAGTTCTATCTTAAAGAGGTTGTAATCCTTCAGAGTCATTACTTCCCCTGTCTTTTTCACTTCTGAATGAAATCTGTCGCCACCTACAGGTGAAAACATTTTTTTTTTCCTGGTAGTTTAAAAAAGTTAAGTTTTTAATTATTCCATTGATCACAAGAATAAATTCATTAGCCAGGGATAAGTCTGGGCTAATGTGATTTTGTTGTTGTTAATCAATAGAAATGTGTTGTGTCCTGGGTATAGAATATATCTAATCTTCTTCAAAGATAGTTTGATGGAAATAATCTGTGAATCTGTAAGTATATCAATTTATTGAATGCTACATAATGCATTTCTGCCATAATATTTTCTCTCGTTTCATCTGAATTCAGATAGATGGTATTTTATTTTTATTCTTTCTCAATGTTCTTCCTGTAGTTATCATTTCTAGCAGTATCTATTCTATGTTATCTGGCTTTCCCCTTTTGATAGTATTTCTTTATCAAAACTGAAATTTTGTAATGCTTGAGACAAATCAAACTTGTGAACTTAAAGTATCTAAAATGAGTTTCTCATCTCTGAATATTTCATTAGACAAAGCTTACTATAACGTTCTTACCCCTCTATTCCTCAATATGGACATAATATGCTCTTGCTCTGTCAGTGAAGAACAAACTTGAGACTTCAGGTGTTTTCACTTTGGGGAGTTGACAGCTGATCACTGTTCAGCTGATGAAGCAGGTGTTTCTTTTTGCCTAACTTGTATACTTATCTTCAGAATGCAACACTTTTAGAATGATATCTGTGAAGAAATATTTGGTGCTAGTGTCTAAGGTTCTTGCTAGGAGGCATGTAACTGTTTTATGAATCAAATCTCAGTAGAAATATGTGTAAGCCTTTAGTTATAAAGGCATACATTATGAAACAAATCAATGAGTAAAACACTGCATCTTGCAGTTTATTCACCAGTAAAGGGGCATGTTAAGAAGCATGTGGCCAGTAGGTTGACAGAGGTTCTCCTTCCTCTCTACTCTGCCCTAGTGAGGCCACATCTGGAATATAGTGTCCAGTTCTGGAACCCGCAGTTCAAGGGAGACAAGGAACTATATGGAGAGAATCCAGTGGAGAATATCTGAAGGGTAGGTGTCAGGAGGATGGAACCAATCTCTTTTTCAGTGTTGCCCAGTGATAGGATGAGAGGCCACAGGCACTAGCTGGAACTCAAGAAGTTCCTCCTCAACATAAGGAGACATTTCTTTACTGTGAAGGTGATGGAGCACTGGAACAGGCTGTCCCAGAGAGGTTGTGGCATCTCCTCTCAGATATTCAGAACCTGCTTGGATGCATTCCTGTGAAACCTGTTCTAGGTGAACCTGCTTTGGCACAGCGTTTGCACTAGATGATCTGGAGAGGTGCCTTCCAAACAACCCCTACCATTCAGTGATTCTGTGAAAGGGTATGTGCAGTGCTCAAGAAGAGAGAGAAAGTGGTTAAGTCAGATTAGTCTGAAGGCTAGGAACTGTGTTGTGTTTCTCAAGCACAGCCAAAGATCTTGCTTTTCCCTCCCCGCCCCCAACTCTTTTTGTGGTGAATTCTGCAGCCACAGTTGAGAAAGCATGGCCCAGCTCCAACCAGATGACAGCAGTTTTTGTATGGTTGGAACCCGCTGTGATAAACTGTGAAAGCAAACAGTGACATAGGGCAACAAATGACCTGCATTAGGAAGGTATTTATGTTGATATAAGACAACATGTAACTACATTTTTGGCTGTAAAATGGTGTTAACAGCCAAACAGGTGCTACTGGAAAGTGAGAAAAACTTTTTTTTTTTTCAACATTCAGAAAAATTTACATTTGATGGGACAGTTCTGAAGAGAGCTTAGTTCAGAGCTGTTGCAGGGATCTAGCTAATCTCCAGAGACACTCTTGTAGATTTATAATCAAGTTACTTGGATAAAGAGAAGAAACTAGGATAATTTTTACAACATTTCATTAAAGCTTTTTTGAATTGGATATTAAGCTTCTAGGCTGAAAGCTTCTGGTAACTAGGTTTTTAGTCTTTCTCCCTCTCTCTTTTCTTCTGTCCCCCTCCCTTTCTCTTCTGCTGTTGTTACAAGACAGTGACTTATTGCAGTCTGCTGGTCCCATAAGACTAGAAGAGTGTAAAATAACTCCATGAATTTACTCTAGGGAGGGAAAAAGGAAACAGTAATATTTTTTTTTTCTGTGATGTTTCCAAGAAGGTAGCCTAATGATTTCTTTAAATCAGCTTTGTGACTATGTTTAACACCCAATGATAATATGTTACTAAACTGCTTCCATATATTAAAAGTTTTAGAGTTACTGCAGTGTTTTGAATAAACATGATTCTTTGCATGATCATTCAAAACATATATAGTGTTTGACGTAATGTAGAAATGAGGTTTATTTGAACTTTTTTTGGGGGTGATGAGTCATTGAGTAGTTAAAAAGAGAAAACTAGAATGTTTCTAGCCTTGAACAAATTTCTTTTGGAGCACAAACTCATCTCTGGTGCCATCACAGTACATTTTTTTCCATAGACAAGAAAGCTGCCTGCAAAGAGAAAATTTTGGGGTTTGAATCTTGCAAGGGCTTGATACAAGTCACTTCAGGCCGAGTGGGTATTATTGACAGACTAGTGGCCTCTGAGGGTCTCAGAGGTACAACCATTTGTCCTCCAAATGATTTAATCTAACATTTTGTTGAGCATGGATCTTTCCCTGTTCTGAGTACTGAAATGAGGATAGAAAGTATCCATTCAAAACTAAGAGATTCATTTCCATCTGTCAGCATAACAAATAGCTTTGTTTTTACATGGGAAGACATTTGTTCCTATAACTAATACACACTATTTTTTTTTTTTTTTTTTCATGAATTTTGAAACTGGGCAATGGATATGACAGAAAGTCTGTTCTGAATTATGAAGTGTGAGGAAGGCTTGTTCAACAGTTGCATCCTTGATTAACCATGTACAAATAATTATTGTAGTTTAAGTGTGTTCCAAAGCTGTTCCTTTGTACCTTCTGTCCATTCTTTTATCTCTAAGGAGGTGCAACATGGGACTGTTTGCCTACGCACTTGTCTTTTAAGAGGTTATTTTATAGAATACAAGATCTTTTAATTTTACTTTTCAGTATTTTCACAGTGTGGTGGAAGGTGAAAATGGGCAGGACTTTTGTTTAGAATCTGTGTACTTCGTAATTGAAAGCCTAACTGGAATGCATTTTGAGCTTGCCTTCCATTCACTTTCTTATTTTGGTAAAAAACTACAAATTAATGCTAGGGAAGGGAAATATTGAAGAGTTTTGTTCATATTATACCTAATTTCTCATTTGCTTGTTACCATTTTTCGCTTGCAACATAGAATTTATTTATGATAGTAAATGCTTTTGCAAAGATGGGCAATTATAATTTTGTTTGAAATTAAATTGATTTACTACCTCAGTTTGGGACTTGCATTGCAAGGTGCATAAACAGTATTTTGTGAAGCTTTTACGATTCTTTCATCATCACAGTGAAAACTACTTTAAGCCTTTGGAGGCATGATTCTGGGAGATACCTATGTTTTCAACTGTTTCTTAATCTTCAAATCTGTTTACATCTGTGGAAAGCTTCCAAAAGCTTCCAGTGCAAATGGATTTGACTTTTACAGTACAAAATGCAGTGGATACTTGGGTTTGACTTGCAGAATTTATTTATAAATCTACATTATCATCATGTATTAATATAAAAGAAGCTGATTCCTATGGACAGATCTGCAAGTCAATGGATCAAGTGCTGCATATGTTTTGGGAGGTAAAGATGATGTGTATGCAATTATAGCGGAAACTTCCTTTGTTGTGTTACTGCATATGAGTGTCAGTAAAGGCAGAGGAAAAATACATGGGTAAGACAATGAAGAGAGACTGAAATTGTCTGTAGTGGCTTGTAATTAATAGGAATTCTTACTGTGCCTACTGAAGTCTGAAACGCTGCATGTTTCAGATAATGCTCACTCCTGCTTTCCAAGGTACATGAATCCGAAGGGTGTGAATGCTCTGCATTCCAGCCCTACAACAGCTGGACCTCTGGCATGACCACAATTTCTTTGTTCTTTTTCCTCCTTTCTTTTACACATTGAAATGACACTTTTTGTAAGATAGAGCTTTTCAATATATATGTGAGTTTATATATATATATGCATACAGTTTTATATCTCAGGATTTTTATATATGTGTGCTTATCTATATAGGTGTATATACATGTTTATACATAGATACATGTATGTGTATATGTCAGGAGCAGTCTGCCTCTTTTAAATGGACCAACCTCACCTAAAATGACAACTGCTGAATGACATAGAAGAGTGGCAGCTGAGGCCTCTTGCTAGAATGACAGCCTATTAATCTAGCTTGGCTTTTGTCCATGCATTGAATTTGTAGCTGTTTAATGCAGGTCATATTTTCTCCCCTACTGTCTGTTTTACTTCTAACACACTAAAAGCTCTTTTGAAGGATAATATGTTAATAAACAGAACTGCATGCTATATTGTAGATCTCATTGAAATAAATAATGCCAATTTCTTTTGTGTGAGTTTCTGTGAAATGTTTTGCCTTTTGTAATGTCCAGATTTGTTAAAAGTAAAGCACACTGTCACTCTGCTGGGGAAAGAAAAAAATCAACTTACTAAAAAGTTTATGATAAATCCTTCTTTTCTTATATATTTAATGTGCAGAGCTTGAAACCTTGTTTCACCTACATGTTCCTTTCAACACACTACCTTTATATTGTGGAATTTGCATAAAGGTGGAATATTTTGTGTTGTCCATAAGTTACGGTTCTGTTGTTTACTGAAATAAAGCTTTGGATGAGATATTTATGAAATTTTTACAAGCTAGACTATTGAAAGAGAAAACCCTCGTAAATGTCTTATCTCCTTTGATCTAGCTTGTTTGTTCCCTCTCCCCTAGGAGCTACTTCTCATTTTGTAGAAAGATGAGACAGACTATTTGTGCCGTGGTGCAAGGTTGCAGGCTGAGCAGTGAGTGGCTAGAAGGTACCATGGAACTGCCATATTAAGAAGAGTGACTGTGCCTTAGCTTATGCTTTTCTGGACTCAAACACTGTGCTAAACCTTTTTCTTTTTGGTAATGAGGACCACTGCTAGCTGTGATGCTCACCTGACCTTGTTGTGTGTTTCTTAGACAAGGATGAATGTTCAAAGGACAATGGTGGCTGCCAGCATGAGTGCATCAACACGGTAGGAAGCTATGTTTGCCAGTGCCGAAATGGATTTGTACTGCATGAGAACAAACATGACTGCAAGGAGGGTAAGTAGTAAGGTGTTTGAATGGTTGATTATACAACTGTCCTACAGAAAGCTCTCTGCACATCTCCTTCCAAAGAAAAGAAAGGAAAGAATTATCTTGGTAGTGGGGGCTTACACATTCAGATTTAAACACTCTCACACATCCCCTTTCCTGTCCCTTCCATTCCAACCATTTGTGTGTGACTGAGTTTGAGGTCCACAGGAATGCATTTTGGAAAACAGGCTCATTGGCAGGGAATGCTGCTTTTAATAGTTTTGTCAAGTGTAGCACATTTGAAGCTGATAGAGTATTTATCTAATGTTTTATTAAACACAGGCATAGAATTTCTGGATTGAAGCCTGGTAAAGTTGTCATTTGCTTCTATCAGTAGCAGCTGGTTTCCTTGCAGTCAGGCTGAAACTGTATCTGCCCTTTCTTGGTTTATTTTAGGGGACATATTCAAACAATCTAAATTCCAGTCAAGTCCCTCTGCATCTTTCTTCCTATTTGCTGTCTCAAGGTGTGGCTAATTCCAACAAAACTGTGGGCTTTGGGGCTTAAGTAGAATTTAGATTATCTGCAAATGAACCTCAAGCGTACGCTATCATGTGAGAACTGTAATTTCTCAAGGCTGTATTCTATCATGGATTTAATTTGCAAGTAAATATGTGCCCTTTGTAAATCACTTGCATTTTCACTAGTGTTGGAATAATACTTGCCTGCTCTAAAAAATTCTTGTTGAATAATTCTCTTGTATTTATAAAGAAATTTGAGATAAATAAAAAAAAATACCTACAGAAATGCAACCAATTTATTTTACGCCTTCTTTAAATTTTAGTTATTTGTATTTATTCAGTGATGCACTTCTAGTGATTCAGTTAGAATGTGAATGACTTAACTGTTCTCTAGTTGCATATATGTCCCCAGAAACTGTGGCTTAGAAATCAAAATGATTGCTCTGTAGCTGCTATGTGAAAATCAGCAAAAAGGAAGAAAAATAAATTGTTCAAGAAATATCATTTGAAGTTGGAGTAGCGATTTCTCATGTGGATTTCTATACTTGCTTGTATGTAGAATGGGGGGAATAGCAAAATATTTGATTGAATTCTAATACTTACATATATTCCTTTGCAATGCTTCTCAAAAAACAAAGCACCATCTATTGTAAACAACAGTGTATGTTCCACAACAACCAATAAACAAGCTGGCTGGGTTAGTTTCAAGGAAGCGTATGCCGAAGGGGAAGAAAGTGATTGTGCACATTGAAGAGAGTGCTTAACTGTCTTCCTAATGATCCTTTCTATTCAGTGGGTCCCTTGACCAAAAAAGAGTACTTTTATGGCTACCTCTGAATGCAGACCCCCAGACTAACTGATGCTATCACTGTTGGCACAGCTGAATGTGAACAGAAGATCCATAGTCCCAATGGCATCATCACGAGTCCCAACTGGCCCGACAAGTATCCCAGCAGAAAGGAGTGTACGTGGGAAATCAGTGCCACCCCTGGGCAAAGGGTCAAATTGGTGAGTTTCTGCCTACCTGTTTTTTTTTCTCTTCTCTTCCACCAAACATACGTCTCAAATGACTTCTCCATGATACAAAACTGTTAATAAACTTTACTCTCATTTTGCAGCCCAGAGGTAAACTGGTTAAAAAGACCCTGTTGACTCCTGTCCATTCCTGGCCAACTGGGGCTACTTAATATCATAGAGCTGTGAATTTAAGTTTGTGGCAATTGTAAATGCTCTGGACAGCTAAGGGCAGAAGGAATACTTTGCTCCTGTCAGACTTTGCTATATAATGGTCGCAATTTATAAAATTTGTGCTAAGTTTTGACAAATATGTCGGAGGCCATTTATGTGAATTCTAATATATAAAATAAGCAAAATTAGAAGAATTATAAACAGTCCTGTCTGCATACATTTTGTATTTCTGTTCTGTATTTTATGAGGAGGAAAGAAGATATAAAATCCAAGAATCTGGACCTCATTTAAAAGTGGCTCCAAACGTAAGCAGAAGAGCAGACTAAGTAGACTTACATGACCTTTGTGTCCAATTAACTGAGGATAGTGCTGGTGGCTGAAAACAGGCTAGCAGAGCCTAGGGAGCTTTGCAGATCTACTGAGGTTACGTAGCCTCTGTATAAAGCCAAAGGCACAGACCTGCCTGGGGGGCTTTTCTGCTTTGAGTTCAGCTCCAGTGTTCTTTCACCCAGGCTACAGAGGGGACAGCCACAACAAAAGCTGTCCTTACATGTTTTAAAGTCTGATAAATTTTGGAGCATATATGGAGAGAGTTGTCTCTGCTTCAGAGAGTTAGAAGCAATAGCCAATATTAGTGCACGGATGAAAAGAATATTGTCATCTCATAGCTGCCAAAACCATGTTACCCTGAAATGGGATCATGTTTTGATCCCTGTTCACCAGAAGTAAAATGGTTAAACTGTTCTAGGGGCAGTGGGGGTAATGGAAAATGAGTGATGTGCATGCTCTGTCTTTTCAAAGGGTTCAAAACAGGGTTTTCGTTCAGGTTGCCTTCCTGCTGCCACTTCTGAGCAAGTGTTCCTTATTGTGGCTGAATAAACCAAAGGCAGCCAGGCATGGATATGTTACTGTAGAAGCTTTTTCAGTACTTGTAACCTCTGCAGGCAATAATCCAACATTCAGATTTTTTTTCAGTGAAATATCGTATGGCCAGGTTTAAAAGAAAGGGTTTTTAAATTGGCTTTTGCCAGTGAAATTGGACAAATTAGACAGAATTTTACTGGGTAGAATTTTCAAAGATACCTCTATGATCTAGACTCTGAAATCCATTTTTCTGTGCAAGCCAGTAGCGTCAATCTACTAAATTCTGTGTATATAATATCTTTAAAGTCTGTATAGCACAGCAAGATGCCTTTTTAATAATATTAATACCATACTTCCACTATGGATAATTATTTTTTTCTTGGACTTCCACAGCATATTTAAGTATATTCCTTAGAGTTTATGTACTCAAATTGAATAAGGAGAAAATTGATTTCTTCATGGTAACAAACAACATGAATTGTGAGGCTGTGCTTCAGTTTTTGAGAGGAGTGTGTGTACAGAAACTAATCTTTTGTCTTTTGTGGTGATTGCTCTCACTCTGATAATAATTGAAAAACCTCTTCCTGAAAAGACTAAAGTTAAGCATTTGGTGTAGTTAAGAAGTCTCTAATAAAATGGATATGCAGTTCAAAATTTTTAAATTGAATGTATAGATAAAGTTGGCTTAGAAAACGTATGTGACAGAGGGAGTGATTTTCATAAGTTAATTAGCCAGATGTTTATAAGAGATAGACATAAGTGACCCAGTCAGGCAGCTATCTGTAAGTGCTACCAATGTATCTACTCATTTTGAGTGCTATAGATAGAAAAGACTGGACATTCAGAAACCATATGTGACATTCCTGAATGTTCTTGCTAAGGAGACAATCAAAATAAGGACTGTAGTCATGATGGTGTTCAAAAATATTTGCTCTAGGAAGACAGAATGTGATTTAATTATGCTAACTTTATTAAATCATCACAGAATCACAGAATAGTAGGGCTTGGAAGGAGCTTCTGGAGATCATCTAGTCCTACCTCCTTGTGAAAGCAAATTCACCTAGAGCAGGTTGCAGAGGAATGTGTCCTGGCAGGTTTTGAAAGACAGATGTTTTAGTTTCCTAATAATCTTTGCAGCACTCCGTTGGACTCTCTCTGGTAGTTCCTTATCTCTCTTGAACTGGAGAGCTCAGAACTGGACACAGTACTCCACATGTGGCCTCACCAGGGCAGAGCAGAGAGGGAGGAGAACCTCCCTTGACTTGCTGGCAACACTCTTCTTCATGCATGCCAGGATACCATTGGCCTTCTTTGGCCACAAGGGCACATTGCTGTCTCATGGTTAACTTGTTTTCCACACAAGGACTCCAAGGTCTCCCTCCATGGAGCTGCTTTCTATTAGGTCAACCCCTAACCTGTACTGGTGCATAGAGTTATTCCTCCCCAGATGCAGGAATCTACAGTTATCCTTGTTAAATTTCATGATGTTCCTCCCCACCCATCTCTCCAGCCTGTCCAGGTCTCACTGACATCTGTGAACTCTATTGGCAGCAACTATTCAGTTATGTTCAACTTTAAGGAAAGTTTGTGTCAGTTCTCCTCTTTCAAGCCTGTTCTTAGTCAACTGCTGGGAACTGACCGCTTTTTAAAAAAATGGAGTTTGGCTCTGGGTGTTTTGAAATATCAGACATGTTAAGCTTTAAAAAGACTTACTATTAAGTTCTCCTTTTCCTTTAAAAAACAAATTCCTTTGAATCTCTTTGTAGCTGCTGGAACCAATTTGTAGACTCACTACAGATTTAGGACTTTTTCCGTTCTTCTTCATGGGATCAAATATAACATGTGCTGTCCCCCTGCAGGCTTAGGAATCCCAGTGATAAGTCAAATATTGAAAATAATAAGTCTGTCTTACAGTCCATGGTGAGAAGTGCTTCCTAGAGAGTGATTTTTTTTGTACTGGTGAGAAGTGAATAAACCTGATATAACTTTCCTTTTGAAAAGTTCTCCAGGCTGTTCTTGGATCACATCTATTGCTCCTGTTTATTCCAAGTTGGCTTGACTCAATTCTATATTTAACTAATTCTCTTACAGCTAGTCTCAGCTTTCCGGGCTTTTTTAATCCATCAGATTTTATTTGGGTATAAGTGACAACACGTACTTGGCATCATAAAAGTCAGATGTCTGACTAGAATTTAAGAGCGACAGGAGGGACTGCTGTACAGCTGTTTTCACTGCCTCTGCAATTTCAATCCCTTAATATAAACCCCCAAACTTTTGTGTGAAGTAAACTTACATCCACTACACCACACAGCTCTTCACTTTCCACAATTCAGAAGTGTTATTCTGAATATTATGGTTCTTTGGGCAAAAGACTTTGTGTTAGCTCTTTATATTTCCTTTAGGTCAACTGTTAATATAAATTGCCGTCACATTTCACACTGGCTAGATTCTACAAGGGATTCTGTAGGTCATATTTGCTTTGGTGTACCAGACAGAATGCATAATTATGAAATTTGCTCAGTATTTGACAGTTCAATTTTATTCCTTTTAATTATTGCTTTGTTTTCCTTTTGGCGTTTGTTCCCATGAACAGCTATATGACTACTCATGAGAGCATTTATACTTACTGGTTTTATGCTTTTTTTTTTTGTTGTTGTTGAACAAAACAGATTTTGAGTTTCACTTTAAATTGTAGGTTATTTCTTAAAATTCACAAGGATGTATATGTATATTGCCTTCTCAGTGTTTACATGAAAGGAAATTACCAGATACTAAACTTTAGGTTTCCTGTTGAAATGTAGCCCTGGTCAAAAAGTCCTTCCTGAAATCTCTTAGATGTCCCCTTGAAATAATTTGTTGATACCAGTCCAGTCTTGGAAGACACTTTTCCCTATTTGAAAAACAGCTATTAATTGTATGTGTTTTAACAGTTTCTACAGAGTATGGCATACTCCTTTCAGAAATGCCTTTGGCTGGACACTTTGAGTTTGAGAAATCTAAATTCCAAAAATCTTTTGAAGTGAGTTGGCCAGGCTCTGCTCTGAAGGACATTCAATTTACAATTTTTAATAGACTCAAATTTGTCCTTACAAGCTGCCATGAGTACTGAGAGGCTGAGAATCCCTAGAAGCTCAGAAACTAAGATAAATATTTTGAATTGTGGAAACAAAAATCACAGATTTGTAATGAAGTAGTTTATGAGCTCCATTTTGTGTTCAAACTATCACAGCAATTTGAATTTTCTTGGGAGAGCTGAGGACAGCAATAGAGTCTGCTGAAGTTCTTTTGAAAAACAAGGAACATAATTTTGTTATTTTTCACATTGACTTCGCTAGTAAAAATGATCTTAGCATGAAGAGTGCAGCCTGAATTAGTATTGTAATAATAAAAAATAGATCTGTAGATAATAGATTAGAAAAATATATCTTTCAGGCATAACCATTCATGTGGAAAGGTCATTCTTAAAGGTTTTTATATAAGTTTAAAATAAAAAAAAAATAGTTGTGCGCATTATATTTTGCAGATGTTTCAGTCAGCCCTCAACTATCTGAGGAACCAATAATTCCTGTCATTTTTGCTGCCTACAAACAGTGCAAATTTGACAGAAAGACCACTGTATTCTAGATTTAATATTCTTCTATGGATATTCATTGGCTATAAAGATTCTAATCCCTTTCTATATCAAGGATGATGTCCTCTTAAACTTCATTCTCTTAATGGATATTCTGCTTTCTCAAAATCAGTAAGTTATTCAAAACTAAAGGCTCGTAGAGGCAGTAATGTTAAATCTGTCATCTTTACATCTACTTGGTACTCAGAAACATGCTAACAGTACATACGTACCATGTCAGTACAGTAAACACAGTACTACCTTGAGTCATTTTGCTTTTTTTTTTCCTCCCAGACCTTCAACGAATTTGAGATAGAACAGCATCAAGAATGTGCTTATGACCACTTGGAAGTATTTGATGGTGAAAGTGAAAAATCACCAATTCTGGGACGCTTGTGCGGCAATAAGATACCAGATCCTCTTATTGCTACTGGAAACAAAATGTTTCTCTGCTTTATTTCTGATGCTTCAGTTCAAAGAAAAGGCTTCCAAGCAACGCATTCTACAGGTCAGAAAACCAGGGTGTGCTTTACTAATAACTTTTCCTTTGTTCTTCAGTGGAAAATAGGCATATTTTTATAGGAATGGGATGACTTAACAGATTAGACACTGTTACAACTAAATCAAATATAACCTTAAGAGCAGTAGGAAAAGTCCGAGATTGCAGAAGGTATTCTCTGATATTTTAGATGTTTCTTCCTTCTTATCTCTCATAGGTAAGTGATTAAAATATTTTGAACAAAATCCAATAAAAAGAAAGTATTGGCATAAATAATGAAAGAGAGATTTCTTTGGATTCTTCATGCTATTAGTTTGTGAAGGGTTCAATAGCTTTTCATTGTACTTGTAATGGCAATACTTCACTGAAGCATGTGATGCACCTCCATTACTTTCCTGTTCTAACTTAAACAAAAGTCTAGGTTTTGTGTAAACAGCTATTACTTTGCTGTAGAGCTAAAAAGGAAAGACAAGCCAAAGGGAGGCGGGGGGGAACCAACCAAACAAAAAAAAAAACACGCCCAATACCAAATGTCATATTTACCATTGAATTTTGATCTTTGGCCGAAATCAATGAAACTGAAAATGGTGTTTTGCAATTGCATTAGTAGATTTCGTGGGATGTTTTCATACTGTGTGCATTATTTCCCCAACGTTGCTTGGCTTACAGTGTTCCCTAGTGCTGAATGTCTGAACTACAGAGCCTGCTGTAAAATGAAGGAGATTACAGGGTGTTTTTTTTTTTCCCCTTCTTCAGCCATAATGTCTGTCTTTACTTTCCAAAGTTCATTCTTATTGATCCAGTATTTGACAATAAGTATTACTGCATAAAATATTTATAAATATCTGTGCTATAAGGTTTACTGACAGGTAGCAGTTATTAATAGAAGATAATAATCAAGCTGATCAATCATTGTCAATATAATTTTATATTACCCAAAGTATTCATCAAGTTGATGTGTAGTGCTCAGCTAACAGATCTTCATGTACCAGTGCTAGCATTTTCTCAGTTTTTCTTTCTGATTTCTTAAGAATAATTCTAAAACTTTATTAATGTAGTTTCCTTCTCAGAGACAAACAGTAAGCAACTATTCATTTTTCATGATCGGGCCTGAAAAAATGAAATATTTAAAAACCTGTAAATCAATTTGTTTTTATTGTGGAAAATCCTCTTTTACATGCCTGATACTATTTGCTTTCCCCTACTGCAGTAACTCCTCCTCTTAGATGTAAAATTAGACAGAAATGGTAATAACTGCTCATTTTAAAATTAACTAGGGGTAAATAGTTAAAGGTCAAAACTCTTGTTAGAAACAGGTGGTGAAAAACTGCTGTTTCATTTTTTCTTCTCACTTTCAATTTGTAGAATTGGAACAGTCACTATGTGAAAGAAGTTCAAATATCTGGAATGAATGAAATTACACAGTTTTAAATGTTGTAAAAATTATAAAGTTTGCCTCTTCAAGAGAAGGCATTTATTTCTGTCAACTGCTGTTGCACAAAATTCTCACTAAGTTGAACAGCACGTTACCAGCATGTGCTGTGAGGTAGCATTTGAATGAGAGAAGTCAGATCTTGCAGCCTATTCCTGCAGTCTTGAGCCAAACACAGATACTCTGTGGGAATTTTACCTCTGTGCTTTGGACACACAAGTGAATGAATAGATATCTAGCATATATAGGCAGTGGGCTTTATTTCCTTATTTTATTTCTTGTAACAAATAAAAATTGATGGTATGCAATGGAACCAGGAAGGGTTGCACTCAATCCTGCATAGCTGTGCATATAGACAGGGAGAGCTGAGGAAGCTGCTTCCTTCAATTCTGACCTGTTGGCAGAACTCAGTAGAAGGACTTGTGTATATAACAGCAGTGAAAGACTTACTGGATGCTGTGCCTAAAGGTGTCTGTGCTGCTGTATTCCTGGCATCTTCATGATTTAATGGCCTCTTATTCTGGTAGATCGTGATGATTATGTTGATTTCCCTTCTGTGACACTTTCAGACATGAAATACTATCCAAATTCCAAATTTCCATTGACTATTTCAGCAAAGAGGATAAAACCATAGCAGCACAAGCAGTAAAGTTTTGAAAAAAAATAGATTGGAGCAAGTCTTCACTGGGTGGAGCAAAACGAATAAAATGCTGGTTTTAAAGTGCAACACAGTTTCAGAAAGAGATTCTGTTATATTTTTCCCTCTCAGAAAAGGCCTAACCCATCCAGACAGAATTTATAAAAATACTCCTGACAGAACTTCAAACATCATTGCTCAGGGAGTGATTTCGTTGTCCTAACACAGACATATAGTTACCTTCTGGATGGCCTCATTTATGGTGCCTGGCCTCCAGCCACTGCTGCAGGAGGTTGCAGGTCTCCTGTAGGTCCTATTTCTATCTGTCAACACTAGGAGGGGATATCTTTGGCAAATTTGAGCATCTCAGATGTCACTCAGTTTAGGAACCTGTGTTACTTCAAAAATTACTATAATAATTCAGTGTGGCAAAGCTGCATCGAATTTATAATATTGTTTCACTCATCCAGGTAGTGTGGGTTTAAGCTTTTCCCATATGTTCAGCTTGTTAAAGAGTCCAGAGATCACTGCTTGATTTGCTTTTATGTCTGTAAGAAGCCTAAAAGCCCCTTGAAATGTCAAAAGACGAAAGAAGTTTTTTTTTATTTATTTATTGTTGTTGTTTTTTTTTTTTTTTCCCTTAGCTGATCTACAAAAAAGTCTTTCCCCTAAAGCTGTCAGTAGCATTTTACAAGTCAGACATACCTGTTTACAGTCAAATGTGTACATCACTTCTACCCCAGAGCTTACATGCCTGCCCAATGGAAAGCATGAGTGCTGCAGCTAAGTTAGTTCTGGTTATCAAGGCCAAGCAAATGGTGGTGCTTGGCACTGCTCTGTTGTATGCGGCTAACCACAGCCTGTCCTACACATCGTAATGCAGCACAGCATTGTGCAGGCTGCATGTACACTTTGGAAACTACAACTTAGTCCTTAAGAAATTGGAATTTGGAAACTTGACTTGTAATTGCAAAAATCAATACTTTGTATTGAAATACAAGGCTATAATCCATGGGAGAAGGGTGGACGAAAGGAAATCACCATTTTCTGCAGTTCTTAGTATGGCTACAACTTTCCTTTAAAAGCTCCCTGTCCATTGTAGCAAGCAGAGGGAAAAGAAATGCAGAGAGTTCATTAAACATTTTCTCCTTAGTAGTTGTTCTGTGTCTGAGGCAGGAAGATGCTCTTAATGTTGGTGAAAATCCAGTCCAATTAAAAAAAAAAAAAAAAAAAACCCAAAACCAACCCAAGAAGTAAATAAAATCAAGAATAGGAGGAAAAAAAGGGGGGGGAAGAGGTAGGAGGAAATCCATATATCAGAATAGCAATGAAAAATAACTTTCAAATATTTCATCTGACAAATTTTCTTTATCAGTTATTCCCATTTGTTCTTAAAAGCAAAAAAAAATTTAGAAATTTCAGATTGAACAACAGATCATGTATAATGGATTACTCTGTCGTTGGTTGCATTATAATAGCACCTAATTGTAACAGACATTGTAAGGACACATGGATAACACCTATATATTTAAGTTACTGTACAAGTTGAATTCACTGGCTATTTAGGATAAAATACTAGTTTTAATTGTAGCTGCTGAAGGTATTTGGATATGGTGAAGTACTAACTACTGTATTTTTACTTTGTTGTTGTTCAGTACATTTTCGGCAATTTCTGTTCTCTAGCAAAGTGGCTGAAGGACAGCTTATTTGATTATACACTAAAGTTAATTATGAACTTTTTGAGCAGTTATTAACAAGCTCTAAAGCCCCACATATGGTTTACTAACTGTGTACAAATAGAGATTTATGTTGAAATAATGGCTTTGGCATGAGGCAAGGATCTCCTGCTCAAGATTTGCCTCAAGAGCAGGTTTTCAGCTACAGGACTTCTTCTGGTAGTAGCAGCTTTCTCCCAGCTGTGCTCTTTTGCAAAGAAAGACCTGTTCATGTCCATGAACTATGCAGCAAGGAAGCTAGTGAGCTTGGCAGTGGTGTTTAGTATTAAGCTGGCTCTCTCCGCATGATGGTTGTAGCTGATGCTCCTATGAAACACAAGACACTTGCATTTGATTGCTGATTACATGTGTGCTGTTGCTGATCCTTCCATTTTACTTGCAAATACTGTCATTAACCCATGTGGAAATGTCAACACTGAAATGTGGATGCCTCACTTACAGCAATTGCTTTACTGGCCACAGGCACCTCTCAAGTGCCCACCCAAAGAATGTCCAACCACTTGAATTACATTCCTTATAACTTTGGTGTTCCCTGCCTTTTTGTCTCACTTTAAAATTATGAAATACGTTCAAGTTTCTGCAGTTATAAAATGGAATTTATATAGGAAACACTCAGAATGCTGTTTTTGTGTTCATATTGGGTAGTATTTCACTCTACACCTTCTTTGATTGGCCTGCTTGTGGCATAAAAAAATGCTCTCAGCCTGAATAAGGCTGGGCATCTATGGAAAGAAAGCTCTAATTTGCACTAAATAAGCATTTTTTTTCCCCCTCCATTTAGAGTGTGGCGGTCGTCTGAAAGCTGAAACCAAGCCCAAAGATCTGTACTCACATGCTCAGTTTGGCGATAACAACTATCCAGTTCAGGCAGACTGCGACTGGCTGCTGGTGGCAGAGCGTGGCTATCGGGTTGAGTTAATGTTTCAGACTTTTGAGGTTGAAGAAGAGGCAGATTGTGGCTATGATTATGTGGAGCTCTTTGATGGTCATGATAAGACAGCTGTGAGACTTGGTCGATTTTGTGGATCTGGGGTAAGTAACCAGGTGTTAAACTTTTTATTTTCACAATGAAAAGAATAAGAAAGGCAGGGCAGAGGAAGAAGCAATGAGGTTCAGTTACTACACCTTATAATGAAGACACTAGATTATGTACTTCAGATTTTTTTTAATCTAAATTTTCAGATTTCTAGTACAAGCATTCCCTTCAAATATTTACAAAAATAAATATTCTTATCTAATTTTTGACTGAAGTATTGTAATGTTGAGCTTTAGGTAGCTGACAGCGGAGTGTTTATCAGCACACACACACAAAAAAGTAACCTTTTCCATTATGAGAGAGAAACACACCAGTATTGAAAAGTATCAAACTAACATTCTTTCAATCTGAATGAAGAAGAAGACACGTTTCACAAGGGGAGGAATATGCTATTTCTCATTTTAGACTTGCATTGTTCTGTTGGCTGCCTGCCTTGTGAAAGCTGGTGCAATGATCACACAAGTCCTCATAAATTCTTTATATGTGTGCAAATGCAAGCACACTTCCATATACACACCCTTTGGCTACGTTAAAGGTTTGAAAGACTCTACATGAGCAGACAGGAGTTATTAATTAACCACATGTCACTTTTTTGATTCAGCCGCAATGCTGCATCAAACATCTGTTACTCAGACAGGTTACCTGTAAGCTGACTCAAATCCTTTTGGGGCATTTTTTAACTTTTCAAGATTCCAGGAGAGGTGCTACCAATGAACTGTAGACAATATATTCTAAGGGAAATGCAACAGCTGTGTGCAACATCTACTAATTTACAATACTTTTCTTTGCAAGCTGCTTTATTTTAAAAGTAAGAGGGCAAAAAAATGGAGAATGGCCCAGCTTCAGACTGAATATTTTTTCTTCTGGGAGGGGTGGGGGGGGTG